ATACCAACAATACATTTTATAGCAGAATGAGAAACAATACATTTTATCTGTAGCTGAAGGCATGCAATTGCGTTCAAAATATATTTAGTTGAAGCAATAAAATTGTGTTCAAAGTATTTAGATTTCAGCATTAAATAACCCATAGAGGTGTTGATATGCCGCTAAACAAAATCAGCCAACCGACTATAAAAAGTTATTTTTCATGGGTACACGAATTTGAGTTGCTATCCATTTTTTTTTAAGTGAAATTATTAACAAGCGTCCTAGGTTGAGAAGTGCCAGTAAATAAATATTATACATGCAACAGGAATGGAATCTGCATCTCTTTTTTTCCATCTGGGAAACCTCTATTTTTAGCGAAAGCGCGCCGCTGCCAGTTTAGCCACGGAGACCATCCTGACAGAGCAAGGTGCGAATTAAAAAGCATATCTCTTTGGGACTTTTACGAATCTATATCTCATAGCTTCAGTATCGTTCCTGAAACGTAAACATAATTAATGTTTCGTAATTTTCGAAAAGAATTTATCATCTGACATTATTTTCTCTTACTATAAACGTATTTTAGTGGGTACAGAGGAAAGCACATCAGAACAATTGCCATGAATGTATTTATAGAAAAAGCAGTAGGAGGCTACATAATGACGATGAAAAAGTGATTGAAACCGAGATACTATGTCCTGACCGATAACATTGCAGATTATTCTTTAGATTTTGTCAAGAATCTCTAGATATATAGTAGAAGCACCAAACCAAATGTGGCAGAAATATTCAATGCACGGACGAATGGTTGACTTATAAATGTGCAATATAGATTCTGTAGAGAATTGTTGTTTAGCATAACGCAGTGAACCAACTTTCCTAGCAGTAGACATAACAACTGATTCAATATAATCGTTCCACTGCATGTTAGTGGAAAACGTGAGACCAAGAGGGTAAAATGAGTTGTTCTCCTGGAGGTTAGTATCAGCCATACTGGTGGAAAGTAAAAAGGTTTCTTTAAGTTGATTAATAGAGAGCAATTTCGATTTCGAGGCCTTAAAATTAACAGACCATTTCTTGCCCCAGTTAACAGCAGATTGCTGGGGGGGGGGATTTTTCGAGACTAGCTGCCAATTTGGTTTCATTGAACTTCTCAGACTTACTATTAAGACGAGAGTAAATAGTTGTATCATTAACATAAATATCGAGTCAGGAACTGATGATATCGGAAATGTCGTTAATTTTCCTTTTATGTTTTTCTTTTTAAAAGAGAATACTAAATATTTCAATAATATTTAAATTCATTCATGATAGTCATAATCTTCATAATACAGGGTTTTTCACAATTTTTGAAACAAAATGATTGGACACAAATCAACGACCACAAACGATAGAGTACATTTATTGAAAGGTAAAAGGATAACATTTTAGGATCTGAAACCTTTTAGTCTCAAATTTGAACCAAAAATGTCAAAAGGAGCCCTAGAGTACATGCACCAGATGTCCGCCGTTCAGTTGAAGACACTGTCGAATGCAAAGTTGTTCATAACACGTGCACATTATTCCTGGGTGATCGCTTGAATCTTCTCAGTGATGGCTGCCTTCAATGCAACAATCGTGTGAGAGTTGCCCTGGTAGATGTCCCTGAGGAACACCCAGAGGAAGAAATCTGGGGAATTCAGGTCAGGCGAGTGAGGTGCTCATTCAGCTTTGCGACTGATGAGACGTTCCCCGTGCCATGGTAACATTAGCGTTGTGAGGAGGAGCTCCATCCTGCTAAAACCACTGTTCTTCCTCGTCAAGGTCCTCGCGCTCCTGGAGCTCTCCCCATCTGAGAGACCGCTGCTTTGTTTCAACAATTGTGAAACACCCTGTTTTAGTTAATTTATAATTCAATGAGGGTTTCTTGACCTATCCATTATAAGTCTCCTATTCACGACATGTTGTGGAGTTGCCCCCACATAGCTTCGTCAGTTTTACCAAGAAGTCGTTAGAGGGCACTGTCAAACACTTATAAAAACAAGACTCTTCCCGTCTTTCTCTTGTCACTCTATTGCTGCATAAACGTAAGACCAGGAACTACGTGTAGATTATGAGGATATGTAGGATAGTGTTGTAACCTAGAGAAGGTTACTGAATAGAATAATCAAACGAAGGTTGATAATGTACGGTAGTCGAACTCTCTGCCTTCGGGCAGAGAGGAACCTGGACGAGTTTCGTCGGGGGACCCGATCCCGTTTATGCGGGGTCTACGGGGATTTTTTGGCCGAGCCTCCAGGCTCAGGAACCCCACTTTAAATTCGGCCTTGTGCCACATGTGACTGCGTGGGGCAGTTACTAAATAGCGTCACTCTATTCATTCTAGCATGTGGTAGAAGTGACAGATCCAAAGGGACCTTGCCCTCGAGAATGGCGTTACCTTTCCCCTTAGTAATTGAACTTAGTAACTCACACACATACACATTTTTTTAAATCAGTAACACCCCAAGCAAAGCAGTGCAGCCACTAGAATGCAATGGGTTACAGGATGTGGAGAAATAAGGAACAGAAACAGTTATAATAAGGAAAAAGAGACAAAAGCAATCAGGAGGACAGTAGATAGAATGCATTTAATTTTTTACAGATGAAAATTTGTTGTAAAAGCATAGAACTGGGAAGGAGTTCAACATGCAAAAAGTGCGGGATAAGAAACTGTTTGCATAGAAATTACGCCTACATCTAGTTAACTCAAATATAAATTGATGCGATCTCGCTGCTAATCTAGTATTTCGCTTAAATTCATAGTCTCGCTATCATCACAAAAAAGCTCATCTGAACAATTACCATGAAAGTATTTATTTAAAAAAAAAAATTCACAAAGAGGTAATCTTACGGCGGTGGGCAAGTGACTGAAGCCGAACCGTGAGATCAGGACCAATAATATTGCTAACTCTTATTATCAAGGAGCTCCAGAATTCTTAACTTATAATGCCTTCCATCCTGTGCATGCATAACTGTGTATTCTCACTCTTTACTTCATTATATGTAAAAACAAAATATAGAATATCACCATGTTGACAATCATTATATTTCCTTACACACGTCATTTCTGTGCAAAATATTGTTGCAACTGCTTTTAGTCTAATTAGAAGCAGTGCCGCAACAATTTGGCGAAAACGACGTGACTTCAATATGCACCTCCCGCAAAAATGTAATTAACAAATATTTGGTTTGGTTCGGTTTTGTTTGGTCTGTTTTACGGCATATCAACTTCAATGGGTTATTTAATGCCGACAAGATTTTTTATTGCTGCTAATATTTTTTTTTCGAAAATGTATTGCTGGCATTTTTTTTCACAAACGTATTTGCTAGTAATATATTTTTCCAAAAATGAATTGCTGTTAATATTTTTTTTTACCAACATTCATACTCTGGCTTCCATTTTCGAAGACCATTCAAGAACCATCAAGAGAATGAATAAGTTTTAAAAAAAAGAGGGAACAATAGAGAGGTAAACTGGATCAGGAGATCACAACAGCAAAAGGGATCAACATTTCAACATAGAACTAAATGCATTCTTATTTTTGAAAGTAGTGTCCAAACCTCGGAGAATTCCAGTAAGATATATTTAATCATTTCTAAGATACAACGGTTCAAATCTTGATCTAACAAATGAACAATTTTGCTGTTACACGATTTGGACAATTTTGCTGTGATACTCGGCATATAGTGAATGTTTGTGTTTTATGTTTCGGATGAGTTGTCATCTGCTCATCTGGACAAAGCTTCATCTTAAGGACAAACAAAAACATAAGAAAATGCATACAAGTTGTGAACAAAGCATGAAATAATTGCTGTCACAACATCATTGCAGAAGTGACATTTTTTTCTTTTATTAAATGTTCATCCAGTATCAGGCCCAAGAACCACTCAAGGCAAAGGGTTACTAAGATTGCTACATAAACGTAAGATCAGGAACTACATGTAGATTATGAGGATATGTAGGATAGTGTTGTAACCTAGAAAAGGTTACTGAATAGAATAATCAAACGAAGGTTGATAATGAACGGTAATACTTAGGACAAGAACAACACATATAAGATTCAGCGGCTTGTAGAAGTAGTAGTCAACTGTTAGAAGTTAGTCAAGTGAATTCCACAATGAATCTCCAACTGCAGGATATCTACCAACCGCCCTACGCAGTCAGATGTGGCACAAGGTCAAATTTAATGTGGGGTATCCGAGCCCATAGGCTCGGCCAAAAAATCTCCGTAAACCCCGTATAAAATGGGATCGGGTAGCTGTTTTCCGAGACAAGACTCTGCCCTCCGACATAACCTCGTATGAGGATCCTCACTGCCTGGAGATAGAGAGTCTGACCAGCACAGCTGGAGACAAATCTCCAACTGCAGGATTTTTATTGTATATAAAATACAATTGTGGCACAAGGCCAAAAAAAAATAATCTCCAACTGCAGACCAACATACAGTATTTACTACTGTAGCTATGTGAATGGGGACATACCCATTATCGCCCGTAGGTATGCTACAACAGATAAATAACAGCTGACCTTTGACTTGAAGAGGTTAACATTGTAACAAAATAAAATCATCTCCATTGAAAACTTATAAAAATTCTATAACATCATCTCTATTGAAAACTTATAGTAAAATCGACACAAATGAAATTCTATAAAATCATCTTCATTGAAAACTCATAATAAAATCGTCAACAAGGAAATTCTATAATAAAACTTTTTGCATTGAAATCTTATATTAAAATAATCACCAATGAAAAACTATAATAAAATCATCACTAATGAAATACTATATTAAAGTCATCACTAATGAAATACTATATTAAAATCATCAGCAATGAAATCCTATAATAAAATCGATACAATATTTCGTTTATCCATTCAATCACTTCTGAATTTCTGATGTCAATTCGAAACAATTGTCACCGTTATCACGGGTGCCTTGTATTAAAGTTTTCTAATTGTTCTATTATATTTTAATTCTGCACATCAATAACGTTCAGCTAACGGCCATATCACGTTGAAACAACAGTTCCTGTACGATCACCGAAATTAAGCAACGCCGAGCCTGCTCAGTACCTAGATAGGTGACCGCTTGGAAATAACGCGCTGTAAGCTTGGATGTGCGAGTGGTGTAATAGATAACGGCTCAGAATTATTAATCGGAAAACCGAGTTCGAATTCCATTCGGGTTCGTTATATTCACTTACGCGCAAATATCATCGGGAAAGGCATGAATCCACTTCTTCTTCTTCCAGCTATGGGTTAATTAGTAGGTCTTGTATCTTTAAATCATTATTACCTGCAAAAAATGTTAGAATCTAAAAATATTTTTGGCTTTAAATAACCTGCAAAGGGAGGATAATATCAATATGTAGGTTGTGTTAAATTCTACAACTATTTAGTAAACAGCATGAAGCAGAAATGAAATGAACTCCAATGAGACCTGAATTCGTGTCCCATATAATGGGAGCTCATCTGACATGAATATTGATTTGATTATAAAGACAGAGTCATATTAAATCTCATTGAGGATGCCAGGTGCTCTAAGCTCGGATGTGTGGTTGGCGCAATGGATAACGGCTCAGAATTGGAAAACGTGGAGCCGGGTTGCTATTCTAGTTCTGTCCGTTATATTCAGTTACACGGAAATACCCTTGAGAAAGATAGAGAACTACTCCTTTTTCCCCATCCCCCAGCTATGGGTTAATTAGTAGAATTTGTATCAGTAAATCATTATTATCTTCAAAGAAATTCTTACAGTCTAAAATTATTTTCTGGCTTTAAATATAAAGAGTTCGGTTCACACTTCTCCCCGGTTTTTTGAACAATTTATCACTTGTTTCCTGTTTAGGATTCAGTTTCCTGTTCTTTTTGAAGTCTACATCAACTTTATACTTATAACCTCTCTTCCTGAACTCTGACATTTTATAATTATTTATTTATTTATTTTACTTCTCTCCCAATAGGCGATAGGTTCGTCTATTGTCCAGTTCACACTCCTCTCTGATCTTTTGAACAGCAGTAGAGGTTTATCCCTTGTTTTCCTGTTTAGAATTGGGTTTCTGGCTCTTTCTAAAGTTTCCTGCATAGCCCCAAGAACTTCACATCTTGCCCATTCTTATGCTCATACAACACCACACAGTAACCCTCTACCCTAAATGGCTCTTGGGTCTTGCATTGGGGAAACATTAGTTAACAAATAACATGCAAAAGGTTGATAAGCCCTAGAAAACGAATCGCCCAAGCAATCAATGTTCACTTGTAAAAAGCTAGCGGGAAGAATTTTGAAACTTTAACTTTTGTAAATAAGCTAATTTTGTTAGGCAGTCTACACGACTGCCTACCAAAATTAGCTTATTTACAAAAAGTTAAAGTTTGGTTGAAAAAAAATCCTTTGACCTTTGAGTGTACAATTTCTCCAACAACGAAGAATTTTGCACAAATCAAGATTTCGTGCAAATGAGCACCCAGTTCTGTCTGATATTACAGCCTATTGGCCACCTAAGTAGAATATTTAAACGTCGTTGTTTAGCTATATTTTAGCGCACACACGCGCACACACAAAATAACATTTGTGAAATTAATTTTATACTTTCTTTTCTTTCTTGCATGTATATTTTTTAACTGATGCCCCGTCTTCGTAAGCTTTCTACCGTAACTTTAGCAATCAGATATTCCCATTGCTAATTTTCATATTCACAACATGTGACTTACAAAGATTCGAAAGCGTTTTTAGTGTCGAGGATTAACGGAAAAGTACCAATTCCGCTTTTCACCCGACGTTAAGGTTAATTACTCCTATCGTCCATAGGCCGCCTGGAGGCAGCACATATTGCCTTCTCCTGCGAGCACGCGGTTGCACGCGCCGCAATGAGTCAGCACTTCTGCTGGCGTGGCACTAGTGTTCGGTAATATTCGAAGTTGCGCACTTAAATCAACTAGATGGGCTACAATGGGTGCCAGGGGGCGATTATTACTTGTTATCTGATAATCACCACGTGGCGTAGCTTTCCTCTGTCTTTTCTACAAATATTTTCATGGCAGCTGCTCTGGCGAGCTTTTTCTTCCCTGGTGCCCAGGCTACATGAATTTTAGCGTGCTACTAGATTGGCAACTAGATTTTTGTTTGGTTTGATTTGTTTTACGGCGTATCAACCTCAATGGGTTATTTAATGCCAACAAGATTTTTATTGATGGTAATATATATATATATATATATATATATATATATATATATATATATATATATATAAAAATGTATTGCTGGTAATAATTTTTCTTCAAAAATTTATTGCTGGAAATAATTTTCTACAAAGTATTTCTGGTATTATAACCTATTTTACACTTTCATAGTGTTTTGACCCCAGTTTGGGGGTTAACTATTTACCCATAGCTGGGACCCCTAAGAGGTGCTACCACCCCGGATCAGGGTGGACCTGAGAACACCAGCAATTAAGAGATGGCTCCACACTCTTCAAAACCTCCTGATCAGAGGCCTTGCTGTTGGACGTAGTTTATTATCTTACCCAGGACGCGAATGTAGTTTATCGTCATACCCAGGACACGGATGTAGTTTATCGTCATACCCAGGACGGGGCAACTAGGTCTCACCGTTTTACTGTTAAACTAGCTAGATACAACCGCCACTTCTGCTCCAACAGTTTCTCTTCTCACACTTCTTACCTGTGGAACTTCTTTCCGTTTCATTGTTTCTCCGAGAACTACAATCTTCAAAACTTTAAATGCAACATCACTCGCCATCTTTTATCTTCTTGAACCCTGTTTATTTATTTATTTATTTGTCCTTTCCTCATTCCTCTTATTCTTAGTTTTCTCATTCTCTTTCACTCTTTGGTTAGGGTGAAATGATTAAAATGAAAAAAAAACAATCTATCAAGTTTGTAGAATGTTTGTTCGAAATTTAGCCTCAGCCCGGGACTTTGGCCCAGGCTAAAAAAAAAAGCAACCAGCTGGATTGGCTGCTGTAAACAAACTGAATGACTGAACACTTTCGTCAATGTATTAAATAACGTAATTAAGCGGCCGTCATCTGACCCACGTGATTTATGTCCACCAATCGAAGATAATCACGTTCTGTATTCCTACAAGGCTGTGAAACACTTCCCATGACAAATTTAACAAATTTATTTATTATAACACGGACATGTTAGAATATATGTAAAAACAATATACAATAATGAATGTAAAAAAAAGAACTAAAAAACGAACAAAAGATGGGGGGGAGAACAAAAATAATAAAATAAAGTTACCGTAAATAGGGAAGTGGAAAAATTCAACAATAAGCAAAATTTTAAAAAAAAAAGCCACCAAAAAGCGTAACCAGTTTCGATCCCATAATGTTTTACTATAATTTAAAAAATTTCATTGACAAAGTGGCACAGTTACAAACATAAAAGGATACATGAAAAAATTTGATATTTGGATCGTCAATCAAATATCAAATAGTTATTCATTTGTATTTATATATGTGGCGGGGTGTCTAAATGCTTAATAGTTCTAATTCTTTAGAGTTGGGTAATATCTTGAACGAAATTTGCATCGGTAGAAATGGCGGGCATAGTGAAAATTATGAGACATAAATGCTAATGGTATTATTAGCCGTTTCCTTATAAGGAAATATTCGGCATTCATTGATCGAACAGACAGTGCCAGTGTCGGCTGAAATTTATAAAATTTTTCTCTTAAAACAATTTTTCAAGAAAATAGGTTTCTCAATTTTAGTAGCTGATATCACCCTTTCCAGTATTCATGGGGTGGGGGTCCTTCCTAACCTTTTGTATGAATTAGTGTGTAATATCAATATCTTGATTATATCATTATTTTCACTTCGAGTTACATGTGATATCCATTTTAATTGTTGCTGCTGTTGAAAGTCCTAAAGTGATACGGTTTCTGTTATTTAGTACAGTTCTTTGTATGTGATTCTGTAGCGCCAGTCCACAATGTCCGAAGAAAAGTTGTCTTCACTGAGATCTACAATCTTCGTTCGCACAAAGCTATTTCTACCACTGATCTAAGAAATCTGACAGTTTAGATATTTCTGAACTGGTCTAGCGCCATTGATGACATCCATTTAAAAGTCTCTAGCTGACGAGGCTATTTAAGAACATGACTTAAGTTTTGGGGTTAACGCTTTGTAGTAACTTGCGGTGTTGGGTGAAACTACCCCTTGTACAGTCTAACGTTTGCAGATATAAACAGTGTAGACATAAAATGTTAACACTTGTCAGTTTTACACCACAAACGATTATCAGAAGAGGAGAAAATATCAACAATCAGATTGCCAGAATAATATAAACTCTTCAATAAAAGATTTGAACACATTTTCAAATGTAGAAACGAAGTCAAATTCTTAATCAACTACCTACAACCTATATTACGACTCAAAAGACTAAACAACTGATAACCCATAGTTTAATAAATTTTATTTAAAAGACCAAATTTTAGAACTGAAGTATGTTTAAAATAATATATATATACGTAAATAAAATGAAATAAAAAACAAAATTATAATAAAATATAAATAAACAAAATAAACAGACAAAGTTAGTTCTCCACTTCCTTCATTTCTCGCAAGGTACCAGTGACCTATACAATATATATATATATATATATATATATATATATATATATATATATATATATATATATATATATATATATATATCGGATTGAGAATCGGAGGCTGACTTCGAATTCAGTCGAATCCATTACATTGACTTACGTGTTAATACCCTTGGGAAAAGTATTAATCTTCTTCTCCCTATGACTATGTGTAAATAGCAGGACAGACTGGGTATTATAGCCTTGGATGGCAACTGGTCTAAGAGAAGGACAACTCTGAATTCAAAACCTGCGGAGAGTCGTTTGGGGGCCTTGAGGCACTTAGTGCACCAGGTCTCTGTATTCGGCCCTTCAAATGGTGTGGTTGGTTCTGCACAAAGCCTTCGCCACTTTAATCAATTCATATGTGCTGGTGTCTTGGCTGTCGGTTCCTAGGAACTGAGTTGCTTGACCCTCATACGTCGAATACGATGGGAAAGTCTATATAAAGTCCACTATATATATAGTAGGACTTCTCAATCTAGG